GTGTAACAAGGAGATACTACCTGAACACATGCAAAACGTTCAGCTAGGGTTTGCCACACTGGCAGAAATGCTGGGCCAACCCTGAAATCATTTTTGATTTGATAAATCCTACGAGAGAGACACACCTAGCTGGTTCTGTTTCAGTCTAATCCCTAGCCCTAGACAATTTCTCATGCCATTTTCTGTTGTAGACATAGATCAGAAAAACTGGATAGGTACATGTAAGCAATATGTTCTCACCATTTAGTGTAAGGAAAGCTGAATGGCCGGGATTCAATCAAAGGCACGTTGTCGACAGGCACATTGCACTTTACTTTTAAAGGTAATTCACCTTGTGCCAACATCCACAGCGTTTACCATGAATGTGATCTCTGCGAACGTCGGGAAATTGCCTTTAAAAGGTGCATTGCTGACTTTGACAGCATCTAAAGTCCTTAAGACCGTTTGAACATTCTCTGAGCCAGTCAGCTTATACATACTGTATAATTCAATGCATGCCAAAAGTTTGATAGTTTAATTTAATACTGTATATGTTCTGGTATATAATTTTTTATATACAAAAGGTAATTTTGTGATGAAAATAAGAAAAATATACAACAGAGTCAATATACACAATAAATCAAATAATGAAAAAAGGACCAAATAAATCTTCATCTTCATTTGAGAGTGATGAGCAAAAGCATGAAGCCCAATACATAGGCAGTGTCCCAAATGGCACCCTATTCCCTTTTGTCATGCACTATAGAGGGAATAGCATGCCATTTGGAACGCACTCATAGTGCCCTGTAACCTAGATACAGTGTTAGATCTACATCTTGTCCATAGTTTCACATTCTGTCAAATAGATATTCAATACTGTCTTTATATTATACATGCATATCCATATGATTGGACTTCTGTGAAGGATTGCATTATAACACAGTGATTAAGAGGCAAAGATTGAGAAAGCGAGAGAAAGAAAGAGAGCGAGAGACCTATACAGTGCAGAAAGTATTCACACCCCTTGACTAATTCCACAATTTCGTTGTATTACAGCCTGAATTCAAAATTGATTAAATATATTATTTTTCTCACACATCTACACACAATACCCCATAATTACAAAGTGAAAACATGTTTTTAGAATTTGTTGCTAATTTAAAATGAAATACAGAAATACCTGATTTACATAAAGTATAGACTCAAGGGTGTGAATACTTGTAGAAGCACCATTGGCAGCGATTACAGCTTTGACTAGTCTCGAGTATGTCTCCATCAGTTTTGCACATCTGGATTTGGTGATTTTCTCCCATTCTTCCTTGATGATTTTCTGCTAGGCCAACAGCTCTGCTGTCTCATGCTAGGACGACTGAGAAGGACAGGACTGGACGGGCTGGGCCGGGATGGGACTGGACAGGATAGGACAGAACGGGACAGGACGGGTCCCAATACTCACAGAAACCTTCTTACTGGACCTTTGTTTCCAGGGTTTGGAACATCTATCTGAAATGTATTATGTGAATTATAATATCATGACTTCATACACACACACAGCTCACAATGCACACTTTAAGGCGAGGAGACTCATTTAACTGTGGCTGCTGCACTGCCTACCAATCCTACATTTCAAGTCATTATTTTAATGAAGATAAATACAATACATGTTGAGGAGTGCTTTAAAATGGGTCCCTGTGTTCTGAGAATTAATGCCCTCTCACACCTATTGGTCTGACCGGTGTTCAAATACTATTTGAAATCTTTCAAATACTTTGGGTGTTTGCTCTTGCCTGCCTGGAGTGCCAGATGGGTGGGGTTTGCAGTTTTGAGACTGTTCTACTGGTCTATTAAGTGAGGCAAGCCCAATCAAGCACAGATAATGTATTTGAAATTATTTCAAATAGTATTTAAACACAGCATCATGCTGACTGTGCAGTAAGAAGCTTACAACTGACTTGGAGAACACTGATTGACATTAATAAAATACAGTCTGGCTGTGATGAGGTTCCGTTCCAATACCCACATACAGTGGGGGAAAAAAGTATTTAGTCAGCCACCAATTGTGCAAGTTCTCCCACTTAAAAAGATGAGAGAGGCCTGTAATTTTCATCATAGGTACACGTCAACTATGACAGACAAAATGAGAAAAAGAAATCCAGAAAATCACAATGTAGGATTTTTAATGAATTTATTTGCAAATTTTGGTGGAAAATAATTATTTGGTCACCTACAAACAAGCAAGATTTCTGGCTCTCACAGACCTGTAACTTCTTCTTTAAGAGGCTCCTCTGTCCTCCACTCGTTATCTGTATTAATGGCACCTGTTTGAACTTGTTATCAGTATAAAAGACACCTGTCCACAACCTCAAACTGTCACACTCCAAACTCCACTATGGCCAAGACCAAAGAGCTGTCAAAGGACACCAGAAACAAAATTGTAGACCTGCACCAGGCTGGGAAGACTGAATCTGCAATAGGTAAGCAGCTTGGTTTGAAGAAATCAACTGTGGGAGCAATTATTGGGAAATGGAAGACATACAAGACCACTGATAATCTCCCTCGATCTGGGACTCCACACAAGATCTCACCCCGTGGGGTCAAAATGATCACAAGAACGGTGAGCAAAAATCCCAGAACCACACGGGGGGACCTAGTGAATGACCTGCAGAGAGCTGGGACCAAAGTAACAAAGCCTACCATCAGTAACACACTACGCCGCCAGGGACTCAAATCCTGCAGTGCCAGATGTGTCCCCCTGCTTAAGCCAGTACATGTCCAGGCCCATCTGAAGTTTGCTAGAGTGCATTTGGATGATCCAGAAGAGGATTGGGAGAATGTCATATGGTCAGATGAAACCAAAATAGAACTTTTTGGTAAAAACTCAACTCGTCGTGTTTGGAGGACAAAGAATGCTGAGTTGCATCCAAAGAACACCATACCTACTGTGAAGCATGGGGGTGGAAGCATCATGCTTTGGGGCTGTTTTTCTACAAAGGGACCAGGACGACTGATCCGTGTAAAGGAAAGAATGAATGGGGCCATGTATCGTGAGCTTTTGAGTGAAAACCTCCTTCCATCAGCAAGGGCATTGAAGATGAAACGTGGCTGGGTCATTCAGCATGACAATGATCCCAAACACACCGCTCGGGCAACGAAGGAGTGGCTTCGTAAGAAGCATTTCAAGGTCCTGGAGTGGCCTAGCCAGTCTCCAGATCTCAACCCAATAGAAAATCTTTGGAGGGAGTTGAAAGTCTGTGTTGCCCAGCGACAGCCCCAAAACATCACTGCTCTAGAGGAGATCTGCATGGAGGAATGGGCCAAAATACCAGCAACAGTGTGTGAAAACCTTGTGAAGACTTACAGAAAACGTTTGACCTGTGTCATTGCCAACAAAGGGTATATAACAAAGTATTGAGAAACTTTTGTTATTGACCAAATACTTATTTTCCACCATAATTTGCAAATAAATTCATAAAAAATCCTACATTGTGATTTTCTGGATTTTTTTTCCTCATTTTGTCTGTCATAGTTGACGTGTGCCTATGATGAAAACTACAGGCCTCTCTCATCTTTTTAAGTGGGAGAACTTGCACAATTGGTGGCTGACTAAATACTTTTTTCCCCCACTGTACTAGCACACTACTAAGAGTGTAACAATGTCTTGGAAATACGTTCTAAGTGCAATATTAGTGTGGACATTGGAACATAGCCTGAAAGACTCCAGTTTTAACTCTTGACAGTCTAAAGTGACAGTGCAGGGGGCAGGTTTTCCGGGGACCTATGTGAGACTTCTCCTCCTCTTCCCTCCGGCCTGTTATCAATACTCTGAACTTTCCGGCTGATTCCAGGGAATGGTAAGGGTTTTCTAAATGTTCTGATGGGATCAGATGGAGCCGAACAGAGTAGGAATGAAAAGGTTGGAGAGTATTTCCGGAGCGGAGCCGCCCAGCGGTCACCTTTCCCAATAGCATGGCAATGGCACGCTCAGCCGTGCCTCTCAGTCCTGTCCCACGCAACGCTAATCCAATCAGTAGGCTGGGATTTCTCTCGCAGAAAAGAGGAAGAGTAGGAGTAGAAAGAGGAGAAGGACAAGAGGAGAAGATAGAACGGAGGAAGAGGAGGTTGAGAAGGAGCGTTCAGCTTCATCCAGCTCAGAAGAGAACTGTCGGCTGTCTGTTCAGAAGAGCAAATAGTTCTGCAACAATAATATAATGTAATCAGCTCTGACAAGGAAGTCCCCAACTCAAACATTCATCTGCCCTTTCAAACAAACGGCGAAGATGGTTTGCTTTGTTCTCTGTTCTTTTTGGAGTTTTCTTTTTCTCCTCCTAGGGCCCTGTATAAAGTCTCGGTGAGTTAGTGAGATGGTTGGTCCTGTAAGTATAGCAGAGGAAGGGTAGGATGCCTCCCAGGCAACGTCATGCTTCAGGATGCCCCCCAGGCAATGTCAGCCCCCCAGGTAGCATGAAGTGTCAGGTGATCAGCTTATAAAGACTGTACTGCACATGTTGATTTGAGATATCGTCGATTGTTGTGATCGATTCGATCCATGTCGATCCTTGATGATCAATAAGGAAGTGAGGGTAGCCCAGCCCCCTGTCTATCTGAAGTGGATGAAGGAGAAGGAAACAGGGGTTTGGTTTGATCCACAGATATCCATAGAACACTATAGTTCACCAAGTCTGTCTGTCTGTCTGTCTGTCTGTCTGTCTGTCTGTCTGTCCTTGTCTGTCTGTCCTTGTGTGTGGCAAGGTTTGAATACCCCACCCCTCTCTCCAAAGTGTGCACATGCTTACTCCCCCTCATTTTTAAAAGCTTTGTTTTGGTGTAACTAAGCATATTCCATCAGCTTCCTTCCGTCCTTCCTTACACCAGTCCATTCCTTTTAAATCCATGACGAACAAGTGAACGAGTCCACACTTGAGGAACGAGTGAACGAGGGGTAGAGAATTTAACTGTAGACAGAGGGTGGGGTAGTTAGACCAGGGGACAGGGGTCATGGTTCAGGGGTCAGAGGTGAAGGGTCACAAGGCCATAGCAGTGCAGGGGTGTTTGAGTTTGCAGGGCAGCACCCCTCTGTTGAGCTGGTAGAACTCCACCAGGTGGATCAGGTCTGTGAACTTGGTGGAGCCGTCATCCAGACTGAACAACATCTGACCTTCCTCCTCACACTGTGAGAGAGAGGAGTTAGCTATTATACACATACAATACGGTTGAGAAGGAGGGGAGGAGATAGGATGTGAGGACAACTTGAGATCGAGCCAAAATGGATGAACAAGAAAGAAGTAGAAATTAGAAATAAAAGTAGATGAGTAGAAAGAAACAATAACTGACCGGTAGGATCTGAAAGTGTCTGATCTTCTGGTGGTGGCACAGGGTCAGGACAAACGCCTTGGGGTTACTCTGACAATCTCTCAGCAGGAACAACCTGAAAAACGCGCATACACACACACACGGACACACACGGAAACACACGGACACACACGGACACACACCCAAAACAGTGTCACTTATGTGTGTACTAGGGTGGATGAATGTATACATGGATGGACGGACAGATGGATGTACGACGGACAGAAGGATGGATGGATAATACAGCTTCTAAGTCTTACCCGTCTACTTGTCCTTGTTGCATGATCATCTTGTGGGACTCTTCTCTCACGATGCCACCATGGAACCATAGCTGTGTTCTGTGGATCACTGAAAGACACAGCAACATCAGGTATAAGGTCAAGTAGATGGTATTATTTAGGTATGAATGTCTAAACACAACTCATGTCCAGCTTTAGACAGGCAGAGATACACACTTATTCCAATGGGCAAGGTTCATAAAGATGTCGGAATTCAGATATGACATCAATGTAGGCTCCCGAGTGGCGCAGCGGTCTAAGGCACTGTATCTCAGTGCTAGAGGCATCACTACAGACCCTGGTTCGATCCCAGCCTGTATCACTACCGGCCGTGATCGGGAGTCCCATAGGGCGGCGCACAATTGGCCCAGCGTCGTCCGGGTTTGGCCGAGGTATGCCGAATTTGTTCTTAACTGACTTGCCTAGTTAAATAAAAAATAATGATTTAGCACTATCTACAGAGTTTTTTAATGACAATGTGCGACATGGCTCAATGCCCCAATAAATCAGCACAATGTACTTTTGAGTATACATTGGCGGCGTCTTGGAGCATAAATTGGGATCATGTACACTGTTCTAATGACGATACAAAAAAAGAGTAACAGAGAGCAATGTACTATACAGCGAACTTTGCAAACAATGCATTTGTGGTGCATTGGGGCCGCCATTTTTATGCAACTCCGCTATTGTGTAACAATAAACTTAATTACTAAGCATTTACGAAGTTACATTTACATTTACATTTTAGTCATTTAGCAGACGCTCTTATCCAGAGCGACTTACAGTTAGTGAGTGCATACATCATTTTTTTTAATACTGGCCCCCCGTGGGAATCAAACCCACAACCCTGGCGTTGCAAACGCCATGCTCTACCAACTGAGCTACATCCCTGCCGGCCATTCTGTTGTTACTAGTGTAATTGTTACAGTGTTACTACCCAGGTAGTGTAAAGTTTAGGGTACCTGAGCTGAGAGAAGAGGGCTGGAGGGGGCTGGGGCTGCCAAGAGCATTCATACGCTGACCCCGTTTCTGACGGCAGGGAAGATAAACAAAGATTTAAAATGACAGAAGTACACCTTTTACCACAGACTCTGAGTCTCCCAATCTTCCATCCCATCCCCTTCCTCCCCCTTCTACTCCCCTTCTCACCCTCCATTTATGTCCCTCCTCCACAGCGGCGCTCTCTGCTTCCAGAGGGTTCTCTATGACGCGTCCCGTCCTGCCAGAGAAGTCCATGGCCACCAGAGAGTTCTCAGACATACTCCGCTGCAGAGACAAGGATAGAGAACTTGTCTGAACTTGTCTGAGCCACGCTACCACTCTCCAAAAGATCCTAGTCTGCTTTACAAGGCAGGATACATCAGGATAACTAACCAGTAGTCATAGAGTAGGGAATAAAAATATACACTGCTCAAAAAAATAAAGGGAACACTTAAACAACACAATGTAACTCCAAGTCAATCACACTTCTGTGAAATCAAACTGTCCACTTAGGAAGCAACACTGATTGACAATAAATGTCACATGCTGTTGTGCAAATGGAATAGACAACAGGTGGAAATTATAGGCAATTAGCAAGACACCCCCAATAAAGGACTGGTTTTGCAGGTGGTGACCACAGACCACTTCTCAGTTCCTATGCTTCCTGGCTGATGTTTTGGTCACTTTTGAATGCTGGCGGTGCTTTCACTCTAGTGGCAGCATAAAACGGAGTCTACAACCCACACAAGTGGCTCAGGTAGTGCAGCTCATCCAGGATGGCACATCAATGCGTGCTGTGGCAAGAAGGTTTGCTGTGTCTGTCAGCGTAGTGTCCAGAGCATGGAGGCGCTACCAGGAGACAGGCCAGTACATCAGGAGACGTGGAGGAGGCAGTAGGAGAGCAACAACCCAGCAGCAGGACTGCTACCTCCGCCTTTGTGCAAGGAGGAGCAGGAGGAGCACTGCCAGAGCCCTGCAAAATGACCTCCAGCAGGCCACAAATGTGCATGTGTCTGCTCAAACGGTCAGAAACAGACTCCATGAGGGTGGTATGAGGGCCCGACGTCCACAGGTGGGGGTTGTGCTTACAGCCCAACACCGTGCAGGACGTTTGGCATTTGCCAGAGAACATCAAGATTGGCAAATTCGCCACTGGCGCCCTGTGCTCTTCACAGATGAAAGCAGGTTCACACTGAGCACATGTGACAGACGTGACAGAGTCTGGAGACGCCGTGGAGAACGTTCTGCTGCCTGCAACATCCTCCAGCATGACCGGTTTGGCGGTGGGTCAGTCATGGTGTGGGGTGGCATTTCTTAGGGGGCCCGCACAGCCCTCCATGTGCTCACCAGAGGTAGCCTGACTGCCATTAGGTACCGAGATGAGATCCTCACACCCCTTGTGAGACCATATGCTGGTGCGGTTGGCCCTGGGTTCCTCCTAATGCAAGACAATGCTAGACCTCATGTGGCTGGAGTGTGTCAGCAGTTCCTGCAAGAGGAAGGCATTGATGCTATGGACTGGCCCGCCCGTTTCCCAGACCTGAATCCAATTGAGCACATCTGGGACATCATGTCTCGCTCCATCCACCAACGTCACGTTGCACCACAGACTGTCCAGGAGTTGGCGGATGCTTTAGTCCAGGTCTGGGAGGAGATCCCTCAGGAGACCATCCGCCACCTCATCAGGAGCATGCCCAGGCGTTGTAGTGAGGTCATACATGCATGTGGAGGCCACACACACTACTGAGCCTCATTTTGACTTGTTTTAAGGACATTACATCAAAGTTGGATCAGCCTGTAGTGTGGTTTTCCACTTTAATTTTGAGGGTGACTCCAAATCCAGACCTCCATGGGTTGATACATTTGATTTCCATTGATAATTGTTGTGTGATTTTGTTGTCAGCACATTCAACTATGTAAAGAAAAAAGTATTTAATAAGATTATTTCATTCATTCAGATCTAGGATGTGTTATTTTAGTGTTCCCTTAATTTTTTTGAGCAGTGTATGAATAGGAGTCTTACCACAGGAGTAGAGAAATGTGAAACAGGAGACTTGCTCTGCTGAGGGCTCTTGTAGTTCTGATCCAGTAATATTCCATACTGTCAACATAAAACAACATCATGTAGCATAAAAATGACTTTTTAAATAATGAAGGATATCAGTTACATTTTAGTCATTTAACAGATGTGCTTATCATTTTAGTCATTTAACAGAAGTGCTTATCCAGAGCCACTTACAGGCGCAATTAGGGTTAAGTGTCTTGCTCATGGGGACATATTTTTCCCCTAGTCAGCTCGGGGATTCGAACCAGCAACCTTTCAGTTACTGCCCCAATGCTCTTAACCGCTAGGCTACCTGCCGCAGATACAGTGTGTGTGTACTGTACCTTTAAGAGTCTGAAGGCAGTCATCCAGCAGGTTCTGCTCTGTTCATCTTCGGCACACAGCATCCTCAGCTCCTTGCACTCAGTCCTCACCTTACTGGGCTGTCAATCAAATAATCAGCCAATCACAGAGCCTTACTGGGCTGTCAATCAAATAATCAGACAATCAGATGTTCAATTAGACAAGACTTCAATTAGTATTTAGTAAATCTGTTACAAGATGTAACTCAGTTGGTAGAGCATGGCGTTTGCAACGCCAGGGTTGTGGGTTCGATTCACACGGGGGGCCAGTATGAAAAATAAATAAAAATGTATGCACTCACTAACTGTAAGTCGCTCCGGATAAGAGCGTCTGCTAAATGACTAAAATGTAAATGTAAGATATAGCTTGATTCTCTTGAATACTCACATCAAATTAGATATCCAAAGGAGGATTTTACCAGAGTCTCTTATATCAGTCACTAGGCCACAACGACCACGACTCCCAACACCCAAATCCTGCACATTCATCCCTGGGGATGGGAGTAGCGTACAGTGTGTGTGTGTGTGTGTGTGTGTGTTTGTGTCAGGCTCAGTGTGTCCTAGTAGACCCTGTCCCAGTTTATCACAGTAGGCTGATCCAGTATAACCAGGTTACCTCCAGTGAAAACCCCTGCAGAGGAAGTACAGTACAGTACAGTACAGTACAGTACAGTACAGTCTAGTCCGTCCGTCCGTCCGTCCGTCCGTCCGTCCGTCCGTCTGTCTGTCTGTGGGCAGTGTTATGTGTGTGTGTGTTCCTCTCACCTTGATACAGAACTGGTAGTCTGTGGGGGCATTGTGCAGCTTCCTCCCCGTGGTCACTGTGAACACACTACTGTCCTCCAGGTCTGACAACAATTGGAGGTGTCTGGGCTCCTAGAGAGGGGAGGAGGGAGGGAGGGAGGGAGGGAGGGAGGGAGGGAGGGGAGAGAGAGTGGGAGGGGGAGAGAGAGAGAGAGGGAGGGAGAAAGAGAAGGTTTGAACAGTCCTTCCTTGGCGTAGTTCCTTTAGTGTAGTGCTGTAATAAGGCTCTGTAGCCAAAAAACAAGGGCACTACCTAGGGAAAAGGGGAGCCATTTTGGATGTATCCCTGATCTTCTTCCTACCTTGGAGGATCCTTTAGTGGAGTAGTAGAGTCCAGAGCGTCTGAGGAACATGGAGAGTCTCTTCCAGGACTTCCTCCCTGATGCCTTCAGATAGAGGAACCCCTGCACCTCCGGACAGCTGCTGGAGTTTAGGAAGTTCTGTACCAACACACACACACAAACACACACACACATGAGTGAGTAAGGACTCTCTGGAATGTGTTCTTCTGTATGTGTGTATATGGAGGTGGGGGTGGAGGTGTGTGTGTGTGTGCGTGCGTGCGCGAGTGCATGTGTGTGTGTCTGTGTGTGTCTGTGTGTGTGTGTGTGTGTGGTGTAAGCGTACTCCACCTGTAAGAGCTGTGAGTTGGGGATGGAGCCGTTAGATTCCTGACACCACGCTACCATCTGCTCCGGAAAGAAGTTCTGAAGAGAGAGAGAGAGCGACCGAAAAGAGAGAGAAAAAGAAGAGAGAAAAATAAAAGGAGAGAGAAAAACAGAATGAGAGAAGAGGGAAAAATACTTCAGGGACTTCAGTATCACTGATTGAACCACTAATAGTGGTCAAGAGAGAGAGGGTAGAAGGAGAGAGCGGATAGGGGAGAGAGAGAGAGATGGAGAGAGAGAGATGGAGAGAGAGAGCGAGATGGAGAGAGAGAGAGGATAGGGGAGAGAGATAGAGAGATGGAGAGAGAGAGAGAGGATAGGGGAGAGAGAGAGATGGAGAGAGAGAGAGAGAGAAGAGCGAGAGACTGATCCAGAGTAGATGCAGTATGATCTCACCCCCTGACGTAATCTCTTGGCGAGCGCACGCGCACACACACACACACACACACCTCTTAGTGTGATTGACATGGTAGTTTTACTTTAGTCATTACCACAGCACTGAGGTGAGGTCACTCCCTCTTACTGAATCACCTCGGGCAGTGTGTGTGTGTGTGTGTTTGTGTGCATACATGCGCAACAGTGTGTGTGTATGTGCAATGTGTGTGTGTGCGACGGTGTGTGTGTACAGAGGACTCACCAGGGGGTTCCTGAAGAACTCATACTTGGCATAGTTCTTCCTGAAGAGGAATTTACTGTCGCTGGTCATAGAGGCTTGAACCTGAACTACCAACTCATGGTCTTCCAGACAGCGCTCTGCAGAGAGGAGGGGGAGAGGGGGAGGAAGAGGGAGAATAGAGTGAGAGATAGAGAGAGAGTGAGAGGGAGAGATAGAGAGATCAGGCATTAGCCTATTTATTTGCATCACTACAGTTCGTTATCATACTTTGTGTGTGTGTGTGAATAAAAGAGAGACACAGAGAGAGAGAGAGAGAGAGAGAGAGAGAGAGAGAGAGAAAGGACAGCAGGACTTGGCATTACAGTAGAATTATGTCATGTATTTAACTTCATTGCATAGAGAAGCTGAGCTCAGTTTCCCTGTTCTCTCCCTCTCCTTTTACTCTCCCTCCCTCCCTCCTTTTTCTCCAAATCTCTACCTCTCACTGCTTCCCTCCATAACTCCTCCTCTGTGTCAAAAAACAGTCCTGGCAGGGGAATTTCCTGTTGAAGTAAAGGGTGAGAGCTGATTGGCTGAGCTGTCAGGGGGCTCGACCAACAGAGCTCTGCGATTGGCTGTTTGCTGCATTGGCCTGATACTGACACCCCACCTCAGCACCCTTCCCCCTCTCTACTTTCTCCACCCTCCCTTTCTCTGCTCTCCTCTAACATTCCATCTCTCCCATACAGTTTTTCCAGAAATGACAATGATATACCAAGTATAAACCAGTCTTCTATCCCAGTAACAGTCAGTAGAAATAGAAACCCTTGGTTGAAACTATACTGTATAGAGAATAAGAGGGAATAAATAAAACTACACTACCCTAGTCAAAACATCCTATAGGACTAGTGATTAGTTTCAATAGAATCCTATATAATTCTCACAATCCTATTGGATTTTGTGTCACCTCTATCAGAATCATGTTTGAATCCTACTGGACTACTGTTATGGAAATAAAAAGTAATCAAATTGGATCCTATAGGATTTTGAATCACCTGTATCAGAATACTATTGGAATTCTCCTGGAGTGCGTTTTTTCCTATTGGGAATCAAAAGTAATCCTATTTGACCCTATATGATTCTCGTAATCCTTTAGGATTTTGTATCAACTCTGTCAGAATGTTATTGGACTACTTCTATTCCTATGTGAAATCAAAAGTAATCCGATTGGATCCTCTAGTGTTTTTTTTGGACTTTTTATTTTAATTAGATTTTTTTCAACAATACAAAACATGCACATACAAACGCTCACCAACATCCACAACATCCCCCCTGCCCAGACCCACCTGCTCACCCCCCCCCCCCCCCCCCCCCCTCTCCGCCACATGGCCTCAAACTGCACCATTTTGTTTCTCTCTGTCGCCCACACACTTTCAACATTTAGATAATAAAGCTTTTGACATGTCCACTGTATTGATTTCCAGTTTTTAAGTATGTTTTTCCTGCTGTTGATGAGAAAAGTATTGTCCAACCCACTGCACCCTCATATGCCATGTTTTGAAATATGCAGACAGAAGTACATTTATCCTATCAGAATCCTATTATAACTTTTTCTTAATTGAACCCATTAAATTATAGTTAGTTGTCATTAGTTCCAGTACAATACAACAAAATAAATTAAAACATTTTCATTGATCGGAGACAACAGTTCTATATTCATTTCTGTTTTATTCACCTGTAAGAAAGCATGTCCCTTTAAGAGCGACTGATGATGTCACAGCTAGCACGAGCACACAGTGTTAATTAGCCTAACTCCCAAGTTCAGCTCGCCACCTGTGGCTGTGCAGAGAATCTCAGGTTTTCTAACATTATTGTTAGCCGTTTTATCCTTCACTGTACGTGAATGCAAGAACTGTGAGTACAGTCTTATTCCTTATGTTTCCTGACGAATGTTTTAGTCATATTTTCATCATTGTACAGGATTTTATGCACTTGTTTTTATGCTAGCTAAGAAACTACTGTTAGCCACATTTTGCCTGTCAGTTGACTAGCTACACTATAAATACAAAAGTAAGTGGACACCCCTTCAAATGAGTGGATTCGGCTATTTCAGACACACCCATTGCTGACAGGTGTATAAACAGGTGTATGAACTCGAGCACACAGCCATGCAATCTCCATAGACAAACATTGGCAGTAGAATGGCCTTACTGAAGAGCTCAGTGAATTTCAACGTGGCACCGTCATAGGAGGCCACCTTTCCAACAAGTCAGTTCGTAATATTTCTGCCCTGCTAGAGCTGCTCCGGTCAACTGTAAGTGCTGTTGTGAAGTGGAAACGTCTAGGAGCAACAACAGCTCAGCCGCGAAGTGGTAGGCCACACAAGCTCACAGAACGGGACCGGCGAGTGCTGAAGCGCGTAGCGCGTAAAAATCATCTGTCCTCGGTTGCAACACTCACTACCCAGTTCCAAACTGCGTCTGGAAGCAACGTCAGCACAATAACTATTCGTTTCCATGGCCGAGCAGCCGCCACAAGCCTAAGGTCACCATGCGCAATGCCAAGAGTCGGCTGGAGTGGTGTAAAGCTTGCCGCCATTGGACTCTGGAGCAGTAGAAACGCGTTCTCTGGAGTGATGAATCACGCATCACTATCTGGCAGTCCGACGGACAAATCTGGGTTTGGCAGATGCCAGGGGAATGCTACCTGCCCCAATGCATAGTGCCAACTGTAAAGTTTGGTCTGGGGCTGTTTTTCATTGTTTGGGCTAGGCCCCTTAGTTCCAGTGAAGGGAAATCGTAATGCTACAGTATACAATGATATTGTAGACGATTCTGTGCTTCCAACTTTGTGGCAACAGTTTGGGGAAGGCCTTTTCCTATTTCAGCATGACAATGCCCCCGTGTACAAAGCGAGGTCCATACAAAAAATGGTTTGTCAAGGTCGGTGTGGAAGACCTTGACTGGCCTGCACAGAGCCCTGACCTTAACCCCATCGAACACCTTTGGGATGAATTGGAACTTTGACTGCGAGCCAGGCCTAATCGCCCAACATCAGTGCCCAGCCTCACTAATGCTCTTGTGGCTGAAAGGAAACAAGTATCCGCAGCAATGGTCCAACATTTAGTGGAAAGCCTTCCCAGAAGAGTGGAGGCTGTTATAACAGCAAAGGGGGGTCAACTCCATATTAATGCCCATGATTTTGGAATGAGATGTTCAACTAGCAGGTGTCCACATACATTTGGTCATGTAGTGTAGCTAACTAGCTAAGTTGTAGCCATTTGTATGTCGTTTTTGAGTCACTGTATTGTTATAACAGATGAGAAATGTTTTTTCTTTGTTATTGCTAAATATATGTGCCTTATTATAGGCAAGTCAACTACGTTTTCATGATTTCTGGTAGATCCCTAGTAGAATAATCTGATCAGATTTAGGAACCAGTCCTATTGGAGTCCTATGGGATTCTTCTCTATTTTTATATATATTTTTATGTGTTCTCCTTTCCCTCTCTCTTGATCTTGAGGTAGAGATCACATGATGGGACTCCAGCTGATTGGAGACGCATAGTTACACACACACACACACACACACACACACACACACACACACACACACACACACACACACACACACACACACACACACACACACACACACACACACACACACACACACACACACACACACACACACACACAGAGAAACTACAGCTCAGCGTTCAACACCATAGTGCCCTCAAAGCTCATCACTAAGCTAAGGACCCTGGGACTAAACACCTCCCTCTGCAACTGGATCCTGGACTTCCTGACGGGCCGCCCCCAGGTGGTAAGGGTAGGTAACAACACATCTGCCACGCTGATCCTCAACACGGGGGCCCCTCAGGGGTGCGTGCTCAGTCCCCTCCTGTACTCCCTGTTCACCCATGACTGCATGGCCAGGCACGACTCCAACACCATCATTAAGTTAGCAAACGACAGTGGTAGGCCTCATCACAGACAACGATGAGACAGCCTATAGGGAGGAGGTCAGAGACCTGGCCGTGTGGTACCAGGATAACAACCTCTCAACGTGATCAAGACAAAGGAGATGATTGTGGACTACAGGGAAAAAAAGAGGACTGAGCATGCCCCCATTCTCATCGACAGGGCTGTATTGGAACAGGTTGAGAGCTTCAAATTCCTTGGTGTCCACATCACCAACAAACTATCATGGTCCAAACACACCAACACAGTCGTGAAGAGGGCATGACAAAGCCTATTCCCCCTCATGAGACTGAAAAGATTTAGCATGGGTCCTCAGATCCTCAAAAAGTTATACAGCTGCACCATCGAGAGCATCCTGACTGGTTGCATCACCGCCTGGTATGGCAACTGCTCGGCCTCCGACCGCAAGGCACTACAGAGGGTAGTGCGTACGGCCCAGTACATCACTGGGGCCAAGCTTCCTGCCATCCAGGACCTCTATACCAGGTGGTGTCAGAGGAAGGCCCTAAATATTGTCAAAGACTCCAGCCACCCTAGTCATAGACTGTTCTCTCTGCTACCACATGGCAAGCAGTACCGGAGCGCCAAGTCTAGGTCGAAAAGGCTTCTTAACAGCTTCTACCCCCAAGCCATAAGACTCCTGAACAGCTAATCATGGCTACCCAGACTATTTGCATTGCCTCTCTATCCTGGCGTCTGGCAGGGAAATGTCCTGTTTAAGTAGAGGGAGAGAGCTGAGCTATCTGGGGGCTCGACCAACAGAGCTCTGTGATTGGCTGTTTGCTGCATTGCCTGATACTGACACCCCACTTCAGCACCCTTCCCCCTCTCCCTCTCTCTACTTTCTCCACCCTCCCTTTATCTGCTCTCCTCTAACATTCCATCTCTCCAATACAGTTTTTCCAAAAATGATGATACTCTACCAAGTATAAACCAGTCTTCTATCCCAGTAACAGTCAGTAGAAATAGAAACCCTTGGTTGAAACTATACTGTATAGAGAATAAGAGGGAATAAATAAAACTAAAGGTCATAAAAGGTAGAACAGAAGTGTGGATTTTATGTGATTGAAGCTTTTAGGTAGCAAGGATCTATATGCTTCCCCAACCTTAACACACACGACGCACAGACACACACACACACACACACCAGACAGACAGCACACACACACACACCGAGGCCCAGTAGTGGGTGATGTTCCACCAGGCTCCAGCTGTTGTCGTCCAGACAGTGGCTCTTATAGACCAGGAACTGACACACGTCTCTGGCCCTCATATCGGGTGGCACCTCCACCACCTTCCCTGCGCCATCTTCACAATATACCTTGATGATCTGGACACACACACACACACACACACACACAGAGAGAGAGAGAGAGAGAGAGAGAGGGAGATAAATATTATATTAATATAAAAACATTAATATGATCATTATAAAGACACAGTCCCTGCCCCATCATCACTGTTCACATTTATTAGAATGAAGGGTCACAAAATAAATGTACAGTCATTACAAACAGGCCACTGTAAAGAGCAGTTGAAACATTAAGGGCCGGTTAACCAGTTAAGGGCCCGTTAAGCCTAGCCCATGGACTAAAAAGCATGCTCAATATGACTAGGCCTAATCTGTGTCCGGGAAACTGGCACATAGAGCTGCTAGAGCAGTTTCTTCTGAACACAAACTGTAACACTGCAGCTATACTGCATTATGATGCCGTTATAACACATTGTAAGACTTGGCATAAGCATGACTGTCTGCCTTATGTCTTATTATCATCTCATAATAATAAAGACTAAATAACAGCTGTTTTGATTGAGTTGAAATGTTAATAGAACAGGGTTGGTTTCCTGGACACAGATTAAGCCTACTCCTGATCGATAGAGATTCTCCACTGAGCTTTTAGGTCCAGGACTTAGTCTGGGTTGGGGAAACAGAGACACAGTAGGACTATTACGGTTACTGACACACACACACACACACACACACACACACACACACACACACACACATGCCTGAGATATACTGTACACACCATACATACACACCTCTGAGATACACGCACTAAACATACATATGACTGAAAATGTACCTAAACATATACAATACTCACACTTAAAAATACACATACGCACTTAACGATGTACTCACAAATATTCACGCTTGAAAAACACACCCACTTAGACATTTATTCATTTACATACATACACTTATTGATAGATATATCTACCTATCTTCTTTCTCCCAGCAGGGAAGTGTGTGTGTGTGTGTGTGAGAGAGAGAAAGAGAGAGGGTGCTGTGTAGAAAATAGAATTTCCATCATTCAACGTTTTATCCCCAAACCCATGAAGACACATTGTAGAGAATCACACGACACTAGAAACAACTCCACAGTAGAACACAGAATCACAAGACACTAGAAACAACTCCACAGTAGAACACAGAATCACAAGACACTAGAAACAACTCCACAGTAGAACACAGAATCACAAGACACTAGAAACAACTCCACAGTAGAACACAGAATCACAAGACACTAGAAACAACTCCACAGTAGAACACAGAATCACAAGACACTAGAAAACAACTCCACAGTAGAACACAGAATCACAAGACACTAGAAACAACTCCTCCGCCCCCCGTCCCAGCCCAGCCCAGTGCCCGGGCTGTGTCTTGACCATTACAGGACAGAGACAGGACAGCAGAGAACACAAAGGGTACACACTAGAAAGGAGACACCAGAAACAAAATAAAAGTATTCTTGCGTCTCATAGTAGTTTGAGAACGTTTCTAAATGTGGAATGTCATCACCGCTAAAGCTATACACACAGACACACACACACACACACACACACCACACCCTACCCACTACAAACACACACTCTTACCTCTACAGCCTGAAAGAGGCAACAGTCAGGAGAGCACGATGGCATTTTCACACTGAGCCTCACTCTGCTTAGACAGAGAGAGGAAGAGAGGAGAGAGAGAAAGAGGGAGGGAGGGGAAAGGAGCGGAAGCGAGGGAGGGACAGAGGTAAATAGAACACGAGAGAGGCAGAGAGAAGGAAGGGACATAGAATAGAACAAGGAATATGGGCGAGGGAAAGAGACAGGAAGAGAGAAGGAGAGTGACAGGGAGAGAGAAGGAGAGAGACAGTGAGAGGGAATGAGAAAGGTAGAAGGAGAGGGAAAGAGAAAGAGAGATAAGGCAAGAGAGAGAAGGAAAGAGTGAGGAGGAGAGAAAGAGAGAAGGAGAAAGAGATTGAGAGATCCCTTCCTCTCGTGCTGGGCAGGATAATGCCTGAACGCTCCTCTCGCTAAGACTCAGCCAGTGGATTAGTGCAGTGTGTGTGTGTTTGTGTGTGTCATGCGTGCAGAGAAGTCGCTTCATGTCACACACACACGCGCACACACACACTTGCATGAATGCACGCACACATTTTCTAGCTACCTTACGTTTTCTATTTCTCCTATCAGACCTCTCTCCCCCCTTTTCCCCCTCCCCCTCTTATCTCTTTTCCTTTCCAGCCCTCCTGCCATTCTCTCCTCTGCAGATGGGTGTGAGATGGAGGGATGAGGGGTCAGGTATGGAGCATTCTGAGGAACAGATCTCTGTTGTCTTTCATGGGGGAGAAAGAGTTTGGGTCACTGGTTAAAGTGAAAGAGTCTGTAAAGGGATCTTTAGTTTGAGACTGTGATCACATGTCAAGTATAGGGGCTGGCAGACACACAGAGAGAGAGAGGGAGAGCGAGAGCGAGAGCGAGAAAGAAAGAAAGAAAGAGAGAGGGAGAGAGAGACAGACAGAGCTAGAGACAGAGGGACAGATAGAGAGATAGAGGGAGAGAGAGACAGAGCTAGAGACAGAGGGACAGATAGAGAGAGAGAGACAGAGCTAGAGACAGAGGGACCGATAGAGGGAGAGAGAGAGAACTAGAGACAGAGGGACAGATAGAGAGGGAGAGAGAGAGAGAAAGAGCTAGAGACAGAGAGACAGACAGGGCTAGAGACAAAGGGACAGATAGGGAGAGAAAGACAGGGCTAGAGACAAAGGGACAGAGAGAGAGAGAGGGAGGGAGAGACAGGGCTAGAGACAAAGGGACAGAGAGAGAGAGAGGGAGAGAGAGAGGGAGAGAGAGACAGGGCTAGAGACAAAGGGACAGAGAGAGAGAGAGGGAGGGAGAGAGAGACAGGGCTAGAGACAAAGGGACAGAGAGAGAGAGAGGGAGAGAGAGAGGGAGAGAGAGACAGGGCTAGAGACAAAGGGACAGAGAGAGAGAGAGGGAGAGAGAGAGGGAGAGAGAGACAGGGCTAGAGACAAAGGGACAGAGAGAGAGAGAGGGAGGGAGAGAGAGACAGGGCTAGAGACAAAGGGACAGAGAGAGAGAGAGGGAGGGAGAGAGAGACAGGGCTAGAGACAAAGGGACAGAGAGAGAGAGAGGGAGAGAGAGAGGGAGAGAGAGACAGGGCTAGAGACAAAGGGACAGATAGAGAGAGAGAGAGGGAGAGAGACAGGGGATTGCTCAGCTATTCTGCAGAGAGAAAAGGGAAGATGAAGAGGAGAGAGATGGGTGATGGGGGATTAAGAGAGGGAGAGAGACATAGTTACAAATAATGTTTTCTTTATTTAGATTCTAGTTTATTATCTATTTATTCATTAATTCATTATTTTAGTTTAAACTGAATAAAATCAAGCAATTATTCAATTGTGTATAAATTGTCAATAACAATAATAATAAAGAGATTAATGATTTTTGAGGTCAGTTCAGTTTCGTTTAGATGATAAAAAGATTATCACAGTTGTCCATTTCTATATTTTAGACATTAAATGCACCATGCATTATGTGGGTTGAATGCTGTAACACAGAATAAAACAATTAATAAAAGTCCCATGACGGTAGTGACTGCCCATTACTGCATATCACTTATTAACCATCATTTATTCACATTACTTTACTTTAATTTAGTATTTGTTTTATTTGATTACTTTATTATTTCATTCCAAGTCATCATCTCATCTCTATAGAGCTGCTGCCTGTGCTGTCTGACACAATGACTATTTTAGTAGTTCTTAAAAATATATATTATAAATAAGGCATACTTTATGACTGCTGAATACCAACTATCAATCACTTAGATCAAGTATTTTCAGGTAGAGATACCTCATGAAGCAACTGCTCTCTATCCCTCTCCATCGCGTGTTCTTCTGTCTCTTCTCTCAGTCTCTGTCTGCGCCATAGAGATAGATAGATCTGTGCAATTATAGCATCTGTGACAGCATGGTCAGCGCCGTTGAGGCTACAATGCTAAGGATTCCCCACCTAGTTGACTACTTTGACTACTTTAAAATGGTGGAAGCATGGAGGAAGCCCTCAATGGAGCAGCCCATGCTAAAATTGCCTTTTGGCCACTAGAGGCCTCTATAATCATCAGACCGGACAAGTAGGTGCACAATGGATTATGGTCATTGTAGTGAATTACCACGTTTTCTGCGCTAAACTATATCGTATATTGGCCTGTTGGAAACTACAAATCCCTACTACATCGCACAGTTCGGGCTTGATTTGATTTATCTCTAGTGAAACTGGGCATTGAGCTCACAGAAGAAAAACAACGAATGAAATGGAATTCAGTCAATTAGTTGTTTAGAAAACCAAAAATAACCAACGTTTTGGTTAATCGCTCAGCACTAAAAGAGACCGAGGGACAGAAAGATAGAGAGAAAGAGTGAGAGAGGCAGAAGGAGACAAAGAAAGAGAGGAATGTCAGTAATGTAATACTGAGTCATAATCAGCCTCATGTGTGGAGCGCTGCATGCCAGTTGGCCCCTAACACAGCCTGCATAAGAAAACACACCACATACACTCATGTACGCAAGTATACACACACATACACGCACACACAAACGCACATTGACACACATACAGTGCCTTGCAAAAGTATTCATCCCCCTTGGCGTTTTTCCTATTTTGTTGCATTACAACCTGTAATTTAAATGGATATTTATTTGTATTTCATGTAATGGACATACACAAAATAGTCCAAATTGGTGAAGTGAAATGAAAAAAATAACTTGTTTCAAAGAATTAGAACAAATAAATAACCGAAAAGTGGTGCGTGTAAATGTATTCACCCCTTTTGCTATGAAACCCCTAAATAAGATCTGGTGCAACCAATTACCTTCAGAAGTCACATAACTAGTTAAATAAAGTCCACCTGTGTGCAATCTAAGTGTCACATGATCTGTCACATGATCTCAGTATATATACACACCTGTTCTGAAAGGCCCCAGAGTCTGCAACACCACTAAGCAAGGGGCACCACCAAGCAAGCGGCACCATGAAGACCAAGGAGCTGTCCAAACAGGTCAGGGACAAAGATGTGGAGAAGTACAGATCAGGGTTGGGTTATAAAAAAAGATCAGAAACTTTGAACATCCCACAGAGCACCATTAAATCCATTATTAAAATGTTTTAAGAATATGGCACCACAACAAACCTGCCAAGAGAGGGCCGCCCACCAAAACTCACGGACCAGGCAAGGAGGGCATTAATCAGAGAGGCAACAAAGAGACCAAAGATAACCCTGAAGGAGCTGCAAAGCTCCACAGCGGAGTTTGGAGTATCTGTCCATAGGACCACTTTAAGCCGTAAACTCCACAGAGCTGGGCATTACGGAAGAGTGGCCAGAAAAAAGCCATTGCTTAAAGAAAAAATAAGCAAACAAGTTTGGTGTTCGCCAAAAGGCATGTGGGAGACTCCCCAGACATATGGAAGAAGGTACTCTGGTCAGATGAGACTAAAATTGAGCTTTTTGGCCATCAAGGAAAATGGTATGTCTGGCGCAAACCCAACACCTCTCATCACCCCGAGAACACCATCCCCACAGTGAAGCATGGTGGTGGCAGCATCATGCTGTGGGGATGTTTTTCATCGGCAGGGACTGAGAAACTGGTCAGAATTGAAGGAATGATGGATGGCACTAAATACAGGGAAATTATTGAGGGAAACCTCTTTCAGTCTTCCAGAGATTTGAGACTGGGACAGAGGCTCACCTTCCAGCAGGACATGAATAGTTATGCACGCTCAAGTTCCGTTTTTTTGTCTTATTTCTTGTTTGTTTCACAATAAAAAATATTTTGCATCTTCAAAGTGGTAGGCATGTTGTGTAAATCAAATGATACAAACCCCCCCCCAAAAAATCAATTTTAATTCCAGGTTGTAAGGCAACAAAATAGGAAAAATGCCAAGGGAGATGAATACTTTCGCAAGCCACTGTACATGCACGCACACAAGCATGCATGCATGCACACACACACAGAGCATGAAATGTTAGCTATGTTAAGCCCCACAGCAAGAGAGAGAGCTGGGGGTTGTCATAGGCAACATCCACAGAGAGGAATGTGTGTCAGTAAAACTCTTCAGTCACATCATTCATCACATAATAACTATTAACACCCTCTTCCTTTATTCCCTCTTCCTCCCTTCCTTTAACCCCCTTTCCTCCCCTTGCTCCTTCCTTCTATCTCCTCCTTTCTCACACCTCTTTCTCCCCCTTTCCCCACTGCATCTCAGACATCTGACCATCTCATGGAGAGAAAGATGGAAGCGAAGCATCTAGACTTTATGAGCATGCAGAATTATGTGGTTGTTATCTGGGTCAATGTGTGTGTGATGTGTTAACTTGATTGGAGGCCACAGTTCAGCCTCAAACTCAATTTACCACTTAACTAACCCTGTTTTAACCACACACACACACACACACACACACACACACACACACACACACACACACACACACACACACACACACACACACACACACACACACACACACACACACACACAGTGATCTACCCCCTCAGGCTCAAGATCTCTAACAATGTCTAGATAAGACCCAT